AATTAACGACAAATACGCATTACGAGAAGAGAATCTGTCGAATTCCGAAGAGTACGTTGTGTGGGAAGAACAAAACTGTGGCCATTAACCAGTATCAGGTACCATTGCTTACTTACACATTAGGAACGTCGAGTAGACACTTTTTAGGAAGGGCTAAAAATCGACAGAAATAAAAGATCTTGAACAAGAACAGAATGATACATCTGAAAGCAGAGATGGATAAACTATATATCCCGACAAAGAAAAGAGAAGGGAGCTTCGTGGTATCAAAGATGTGTTGGAACTAGTGACGGCATTCCTCGGCACTATTCGACTATATCAGTGAAAGACAGTGCTATAGGTGGCAAATGCAAAAGGTTTATGCAATCTAAAACAACATACAACTGGAAATGCAGAAAATCATCAACAGACTGTATAGAATGCCTGATACAATGATTGGAAGAATAAACAGCTTTGTGGACAGTATCTTCATAAACTCCGTGAAGACATCCATCAGAGTTTCAATTGGCTACCTAAGAAGTGGACTCAGTGGCAAACAGATGCCGAAGACAACACCAAACAAGAAATCACACAAACGAAGATGCTGTATAAGTAACCAGAGGCAAAGTGCAGAATGTGAGACGATGAAAAATAATTTCTGGTTCTGAAACGCTGACGAATCGAGAATACAAGAGAAAAGAACGATTATGCTGCACGAACCGTAGAAAGCAACGCTCCTAGGAACATGCATGATTTTAAGAAAAGTATTACAGCTCTCTAACGCTCGGTAGAGATTTGAAATGAACTTATGTTAATACCACTCGTGTTATATTCGGCAGGGTGTGCATGAAATAATAAAATGTATAAATAATTGGTAAGTCACAAACGGGAAGAGCACGCATAAAATGTTCTTTAATTAGAGACATCTGACGTTTCGGACCAAACTCGGTCCGTCTTCAGAGTACATTAACAAGCATATCTGATAAATCACCAGACAGCCATCCAAGACTTCGCCAAATTAGCTGCTGTCGAGGTTCAAAAG